AGTTCCCATTTTGCAAAATAAGCAGGATTTGAAGCACTAAAGACCAGCATCTCCTGAAGTCAAGTGGTAAAAAAGATCCTGTTCTCTCCCTTCCCCAAAAAGAGAAGGGATTTTACTGCAGGGTTTACTGCAGTCCAAGCATCTATATTGGCCCATCACACCCATGGTCACACTGAGACATGGTGTTAGTAAGTGGAAACCCTCTGCAACAAGAGCAGCTTGAAAAAGTGAAAGGAGCAAGCACACTTTGCCCAAGGCAGAAAATAACTCACTGGGACTTCTCTGCATCCCAGTGCTACACTAAGCTGTTCTCAAGGCTAAGCACTCGAATAGGGGGTGACCAAGAAGGCAAACTCCATGTAGGGTGTTCCTTTTGGGAAGGATGTGGTTGGTGCTAGTGGGTACCGTTCCCAGGGAATGGCTAGGGGCAACCATTGCTGTCCACAACAGAGAATTGTTACAGTCATTGGAGATGGTGCAGCACACAGAATTGCAATGTTAAAAGTACTGAAATTGCTTGAAGTGTAAAGTTAATTGAGAGAATAGCAACTTCCTAATGCCACAATACTTGTATGAGCGGGAACACTCCAAATGCTTGCAACTATGCAAACAGATACAGCTCCTGTCTGTCATTTACTCAACACCCCTTTCGAAAAGAAGCTACTCCATGCACCTGCATGCTTTGAAGAAGCCTTTGGTCATCAAGGAGGATGCAGAGCTCAGCCATAGCACTCCCCAGTAGTGGCACTTCCTGGGGTGAGAACTGATACTACTGGAGAAAACCTTGCAAGAATCACCCCAACGACTGCTCTGCAATACTTGGCATTCTGCTGGGAATCCTTATGGTGGTGCCCCTCAGACAGCCAGGCCTCATTCTGAAGTGACTGAAATACCTGTTCACGGCCGCTCCGCACACACGGCCGCCGTCCCGTTGTCACACAGATGGCACGACCCCACGAGAGACGCTGCACAGCAGAACCAAAGGCCATTCCGCGCGCGGGCCAGGCCAAATGACCGCACGGCTTTGTCCCCTTCTGGAGAGCAGCACCGCAGGTGGGATAAGGGGAGATATTTTCAAGCTACTGGGCAGCTGTTTAATGAGCCTGACCCTTTTTACTACTGGCAGTTGAGAAAAATATATGCTGACTGTGAACCAGCTGACTGTAGGCCTTGCTCCTGAACATGTATCTACCTGGAATTTTTTTTTGCTGGAGCAGGTACCATAACATCCAACAGATGAATGTGCTTCTCCGAGTACAGAAAGATTTTTACAGATCAGAAAGAAGCTAGGGTACGAAGATGAAAGAAAGGATTTTTATATAAAGGTCCCTTTGGAAGAAAGGGAGGGACAGGCGGGAGAAAGAACTCAGAAGGGATCCACAGAATTAAACAAACTGATCCCTCCCAAAGCTTACATCTATTCCCTCTCATGTTTCAGGATAGCTTTTACTTCCATTACAGCTACTGTGAAAAACCAAGGGTTTTTTTTTGCATCAATATTTATTTCTCTGTTTATGGCTGCTATCACTGCTGTGTTTATTTTGCTCGCCAGTGCGTAAGACAGAACCCAAAAGGGCCCCAGGGCCAAAGCTGCAGTCTGGTGTGTTTCTCTGTCTGTGGTTTCAACCTGTCACAGGACAAAGTCCAGCCTCTCCTCTGAAACTGGGTCATTGCCACTTGCTTCAGTACCGCAGCATCCTCACACTGGTGTTTGTTAGAGCGCTGGGACTCACCTATAACCCACGGTCACTCCTGGCTGCTTCTGGATAACGTCACAGACAACCCCTTATGGATCGTGAATGGGACCCCTCCTCCTCCAACAACCTTGAACAGACGATCAGGGAGGATCGGGTGCCTGATGCTTATTTCCCCGCTCCAAATCAATGCCCTGCCAGCCTCCTCCACCATCCTCTGCCCTGAAGGACAGCAAGGAAATCTGAATCGATGCCCACAGATTTAGCATATTCCCTGATCCAGATTCAGAAAGGTTGAAATACTTTGTTTTGAGGTATGCCAAAAAACACTCTGAATAAGGAAAACATCTTCAGAACATATAGAAAATTATTGCATCCTATTCAAGAAACTATTTCCTGTTAACACAAAATATATGAAGAAATGTTGAAAAGAAATATTTCAGAATTTTCTAGAGACCTTCATTAATGTCTGACTGTCACTTCAATCTAAATTAGCTTTTCTGAGATCATAACATGTTTCACCATATAGGAGTTTTTAAGCAAGCTCTAATGATCATCATTCATTTCTGTCAGGGAATTAGGACACCATATTCCCTAAAAATCATTTTCTAAGGGACACTAACTCAGTTTGCAAATGAATTTTAACACAGAATGCTTATGGCCCACTGCAGCCAGTCAAAAAGCAATTATCTTAGCAGTAATGAAAATATGGACGTGTTCACACTGTCTGAAGTTATGGATCACAAACATAATCAATACAACTGTTCAAAGTAGCTCTATTGGGAGATTTGCTCTCTGTGCATTATATAAGGAGCTTAATATTAAAATTTTGTAACAGAGCATTACAGTCCAGCTCTATTAATATCCCTCTTGTATCTACATCCCAAGAGAGAGGTGGTCCAAAAGCACTGAAAAAAATAGACATCACTTTTAACGTAACTCTCACACGGCAGAACACAACAGGATGCACGTCTGGATGTCATTAGAGAGGAATGTGAAACAGACTTGCATAAAAGTATATAAACTAATTTCTATGTAATATGTGATCCCACAACATTTTTGCCCAAACTTTTACAAAAAAAGTTAAAAAAAAAATACAAAATTTTGTAACTGAAAATCAGGGGAGGACAGGACAAGAGTGGGAGGAGTGGGGGATTTAAGTCAAGATATTTGACTTAAATTACCATGACTACTCTTAATACCAAGAGATGTATCAGTAACAATATACTTATACTCAGCTAGAAGAACTTGAAAACATGCTCCTAAAATAAATGCTTAAATATTTTTGTACTACCAATGTTTTATTTTTAAATGCAGTTACTTTGCCTCCAGGTACTCCGAAAAACCTAAGGCACTAGAAGAAATCCCAAATGTCTGTTTCTGTGAGATACATAGCATGGAGGAAATCAGAACAAATCTGAAAAGGTGATTGTGGGTACTTGTGCTTAGACATCCTAAAACCAATTTCAGCTCTTCCTGAATCCTGTAAAAAGGTTCAAACTGAAAGTATGAGACAGCCTGAACCAGGGTGCAGGTTCTTATTGAAACTCAGACTAACCTTTTACTATGAGGTAACCTTTTACTTTTATTAATGAAACAAGTCTGAGGAGCAAGGGATCAGGCATATTATTATTACAGGGAATGCACCGATGCAGGGATCGAAGATTAAGTCTTAACTGTTGATATATAAATTCATACTGGAACAGACTCTGGGTATTCCAGGTGGCATGTTATAACCAAAGGTGACTGTATTCATTTGAGCTTACAGGTCCAGGGGATGACCTAATTTTGCCCGTCTACAAAATAAAAGCAGAGAAGGAACAACTAAAATAGAATTGCAATCTTGTTTTTTTTAATATTATCTAAAAAGTACGAGACCTATGACTAGCTCCTGGTAACTTCACACAGAACTATTAAGGAAAGGCAAAACAGGTGATAGCTTCACTATCAGGTGATAGCTTCAACTGTAATTTGGATTTTATTTGTTATGGTTGATTATGGAAGACAGTGCTGACCTAGATAGGCCACATGCGACTGTTTGTTTTTCCAGAAAAGGCAATGTACTATTTCTGAGCTCGGCTTGCCCAGAATTAACAGAATATTTTGTCACAGATAATTGTGGTAGATGTTTTAAAAAGTGGTCTTCAACTCTACACAAATATCAATGAATACGGAAGGTTATACATCTGCATGTGGAACATACAAAAAGGTATGTTCGTGGCAAAATAATGCAGCACAGTATAAACATATCTGCACTAGCAATATATATGTGAATTACTCTTTGCAGCTCTGTGATATTTTGTTTCTGACAGCAAAGCTAGTTTAGAAATCTCTACCTAGCATCATACAGTTAGAAGCTCCTGAAGTATACTGTCAATGCAGAAGCAGCTTTGTAGAATCCCTGTAACTTAATCCATACAATTCTTCATCTCTTGTGGTCTCTACCATCATCCCTATGAAAGCATTTGCCTAGACAGGTGTTTTCAGGAGAAAATCACTTTCTACCCTATTTCCCTAAATTACTTTGGGATGCTTGTTAAGTATACTGTAAAACACTTTTACAACCAAATGAGACTATTGTGTGGACAGGAAATTTAGGCAATGTTATACTTTCCACATGCATACTTAATTCTCAATGTATTTATTTCAGTATTTTTAAAAGATCACGTCAGTGTGTTTGTAATTTTCTATTTATGTGAGCTACTGTTTGTGATGGTATTTCAGCAAGAAAAATAATCATAATGCACACACAATCCTAACAGACACACATCTCTTGGCTTATTCATTCACAGAGCCCAAAGCACTTTAAAAGCGACATTATGAATGAAGTATGCATGCACACATGAGGACAACTACATCACGAGTTCCCATGTTACCAGGAAGACCAGCCATTTCAAACTGTGTGAAAACAAGAGCATCTTCCCAGTTTCGCCTTGCATACGTCGGTGCATTAAGAGAACAGACCAAGCAGTTAAACTCCCAGGCGTCCTCCCCACGTCTGAAACCATGCTGGCTGAGCAGAAAGTGGAATAGTGTTGGAAATGCAGGAGTTTACAGTGCAGCATGTTGCAGTAAACCAGCGCTGACTTCTCTTTAGCAATACCATGGCTGCACACTGCACAGTGATGGTGCTACAGCCACCCACCCCAGCCGAGGCCACGGCAACCTCCAGGGCACAGGTGGAATAGCTTTCATCAGCTAAATTTAATACAACGTTGCAGGAATTTCAACCTTCTTGGTACTTACTCACTGAGAACCAAAGCAGACAATCCTTCCAATTTATCTTTACAAGTTATTTGCTCTTACCTGTTGTTTGAGTGCCTCGAGAGATTCAAATTCCAACTTAGCCAATTTTATCTGGATATCTCTTGGTTTATCAGGAATTACAAATGCCATGACAAACTTCATTGCTAGTAACATGTGCTGGAAAAAACGTAAGAAGAAAATACTATTTTACATAGTTGAAAACATGGAAAGAAGAGCATAACAGTTTTGTAAATTTTACTAACAGACATATGAAAAATTATTTCTTGTGACATGCACAACAGTGATAATGTACTATAACAATATTGAGCTTTTTTATGTTTACATTTATTCATAATTTGAGCATAAGTGTAATTTAGTTGTTTTGTTCTTTATAACAATCTTATTTTCATTATGCACTGTAAAATTCTAATTTAATATTATGATTCCACGTAAACTATTAGGCTTTTCAAACATTTTATTCATGTAACATGTCCACAGAATCTGAATTATAATTCACATAGTGAATACACAGTAGAAAATACCTTACATCTATATCTCACACTACTAACACAGTATAAAACTATCCTGAATAAATCTAAAATTTCTGCATTGGGAAAATTATTAAAACTTAAAAACACACTTGAGCAAGCAGTAGAAAAGTACAAAGCAAAACAAATATTAGGTTAATAGCAAGGATCTTTAAAGTGGGCAAACTCATGAACAGAAACCTTCCATAAACCAGAAAAATGCTTTAAATGCAAGATGCCAAATAAACCATAATTTGTCAAACCAAAATTTATAATTTTGATTGTAGTCTTATCTAAGAGAAACCAAGTTACAGTTCTGTTAAACCTAATACTTGCTGACCCATTTTAAAATTCCACTTAAATATGCAGCAGCATGATCATCTCATCGAAAAAAAAAATTGCCAAACTGCCAAGTCAGTGTTTTACTTTTGTATCTTCATGTATGTCAAATATAGACATCAATTAAGGAAGAATCATTAAATGCTTGTTCTCTCAAGGGCTGGTGGGAGCTTGCTCCTACTTAAGGCAACCTTGATCGATAAAAAGGAATATTTTGTGTGTTTAAGTATGCACTTAAGGGCCACAGATATGATGATACTCGGACACACGACTGCAGGCCCAAGCCATTTGGGCCCTGAAATTTCAAAAAAAACAAATGGGCAGAACATTGCTTCTTCCCAAGACAGATTTTGCTTAACTATATGATCTTGACACTGTTGGGCCCCAGGATAACAATGTAACAGACTCCAAACTTTGAATTTGTGGAATTATGGGGGCCAGAGGCTAGCAAAATACACCAGTTTCAGTAAGAATGAGGTCAAATAAGGAATCATTAACTGAACAACAAAAGATTAAAAAAAAATACGGATCAAGTTATTAAAAAAAAATCTGTTACAGACAATAAGTTAGTAAATTTGGGAAAAAATGGATAGTGCCAGGAATAAGCAGTTGTTAAAACAGGTGAAAGGAAGGCTACAAATCAGTTTAACATTACTACTCCAGCAGTGAAGCCTGTGTACAGATTAAGAGGTTAATGAAAGGATTAGCACATCTGCTGCATAACGTGACACGCAATACTACATTATTAAGAAACAGTTATATCAGCAATGAAACATTCTCCTAGGTATATAAAGGCAGTCTTTTCCCATTCTTCTTTTCACTCAACAGTACCTGCACCTTAAAAAAAAAAAAGAAAAGAAAAAAAGCTAGCCTCCCAGAAATCAATGTTTTTATACTTCAAATACATAAAAACTTCAAAAAGAAGAATGAGAGAGTGCCCTGGATGAATGTCTTAAAGGGAAAAAGATAAAATATCGAAGACAAACAACAATAAAAATAAGTCAATATTCCTGTGCAGGGGAAAATTATAAGGGATCACAGCTTGAGGGGGAATAGCTAATCTATAGATAATGTCTTGGTTTGAAAACAGGAAAATAATCAGATAATTTTTGACCAGGATTTGGTTAAAATCTTATACTTATGCCAAAGAACTGACAAAACTAGCAGAAAGGAGGAAATAGCATTTGGACATGAAAACTGGGAAAGTTTCAGTGGAGCTATCAGTAAGATGATGACTCGGTGCCACAAAGGTGGCTACCCAATAGCTGCTCACAGTCCTTTGGGCTGGAGTTCATCTCATTTCAGTAAATAAAAGAAATAAAGAAAAACATGTAGTGAATACCAGAAGAGTAATTGTTTAAGCATTGTCTCTTGAAGACCCTTGAAAGGAAACCAAGGTAAATACTTTCTGTACATAGTACTTTAACGTATCTCCAAGCCCAAGCACTTTTTGAGAAAACAAATCAAAAGCCCTAAGGACCAGGGCAAGGGGTGACTCTGTGCCCTGGAGCCAGGGAGTGCTAAGTAGTGGGATCACAGATGGACTAGGGTCCCCACTGCTCTGGTCCTACTGTCACATCCTTCCTGGCACCCGCTGTGGGTCACCGTCACAAGAAGAAAATTCAGAAAGATGGACCTCTGGTTTCCCCCTCGAAGCAGCTCGATGATGTTCTTTCATCTCCATCAAAACAAAGATTTATTGTTATAAACTGCTGCAAACTAAGTGAGAAGTACATCCGATGTGGGATATTTAGTAAAAGCTTCAGTAAAAGCTGACCTCAGAAGAGGTGCTGGGCTTAAAGGCAGTCGATTCCATTCGATTCGCTCTCACAGCACCTAGTGAACCTGTTCTGAAACATGGAGGCTTTTCAAACCACCCAACAACCTCTCTGACCTTAGAGAAACAGCTTCCATTTGGTAACACCTTTCAAAAAATGGTTACTGAGATCTCTCACGCTCTATTTGCAAAATAGAAGTAACATTAGTAAAATTGGGAAAATAGCTGGAAGAAATGCTCGATATGAGTTATACAATTCAGGTAACCTCTTGAGCGCGTAATTTAGATAACTATCTATGGTTCATTTTATAGATGTCATTTCTTTTTAGTATAATTCCTGCAAGACAGATCCAAGAAGAGATGTCTTAAGAGTACAATGCAAATCACTAGAATGGATGCCTAAATTCTCTTCCTTAGTATGAAGTTATGTGAATATGAACGTATTATAACACCAAAATACTTAAGTTTATCCAAATTTTCTATAGTAAGCTATGAGAAGGGTACATGACTTTGAACCTGTATCCTCTACTGGTGTGTGCAAAATGCCTCTGCCACTAGGAGGGAAAGATCTGGCACAGAATTACGTTACTGTCAGGGCAGATGATGGGGAAATCGCAGGCTTCTCTGCTAGGGCACTGGATCACAGGATTCTGACTTTAAACTAAATGGAGATCAAAGACTAAGAACAGACCCAGGAATAAATTAATCTCTCTGAGGCAACAGTTCTGCGGGTCCTGCAGCTTTCTGAGCTGTGAAAAAAAAAAAAAAAAAGAGGGGGGGGGAAATCAAAAAGGATTCTGTCAAGGGAGTAATGCAGGCAAAGAGAAATTTCCATTAAACTCGGGAAGTTAAATTCAATTATATTTAATAGATAGCAATAAAATAAATTTAGGAGAAAATATTCTTGCAATATGCACAAAAAGAAAGCATGACTAAACTTTTCTTCCCGCTTTTAGCCTCAGCTGTTTTCATTATACAGACTTACTAATAGAGTGGAACTGCCAGAGTGGCAGGACTTTAATAAGGGTCTTTCTTCTGCTTCTCTGATAAATGATGCTTTTAAACCTCAAAACCCTTGCGTTATTATGGATTTTTTATAAAACACGAATAGATTCTGCCTTAGCAAAAATCAGAACTTCAGGGCAGTGGCCGAAGAGAAAAACGGAAGAGATTGTTTCATACTGGCCCCATTTCAAGGCTCCCTCATAATCTTCCAGTGAGTTTCAGACTCAGAGCTCGACGACAAAACACAGTTCATTTTTGTGGTAATGGCACTATGCGGCGCGTATGGAAGTCACCTGCCCGAAGAGATGAACACTGGTTTGCACGGCAGCTCTCCACAGAAGTATTCCAGAAATGTGAATGTAAACAGATGCAGAAATTGTATTGTGTATTTTTATTACCAATCCATTGTAAAATCTCACAATCAAAATTGAACATTGAAAACTCTACCAGGTTTAGTAGGTAATTTTAAGGCATATTTCGATCACATAAAATTACGGAGCTACACCAAGAGACCCAGGGTTGTTTTGTTACCATTAAGCTACATTCACTGCACTAGTATCACTGATACACCACCCTTATCTGTTCAGTCTCGGCCTTGTATTTCAAGGCTATGGATTTGATTTCTTTTAGAAACAATCTTTCTTTTAGACTATTGATTTTGGTTTCTTTCTTTAGGAGGAAATTTATTTTGAAGTACTAAAACTACTTCACGTTACTATTACTACTGAAAATAAGCCAATTCCAGACCCGAGTGAGAAACTTTAATAGATAAACCAGAATAAAAGATGAGAAGTTAAGATAATCTTGTTAGGAAGAAAAAAGTGGAAAATCTTTCAAACATCATTTTTTAGGGGGGACAATAGGAGAATAGTCTCTTCTACCTGTACACATCCTTGCCCTCTCCCCATTTTCACCAAAAGCTGTAAGAGCAGCAGTTAGAAAGGAAACAGAACATTACTGCTTCTGCAACACAGTCCTGTTCTTTGAAAGTCTTAGGAGATGCTGAAACCAGACTTTAAATACAGATCATAATTTGTAAATCAACTTGTAAAACATTGCCAATCCCTTTCAAGTATCCCTTCCACTATGCGGTTAAACCAAGTAAGTTTCCAAAAAAAGCAGGAAACCTCTATCAGACACCACGACAGAAACAAATACACAAAGCAGTGCAAGCAGTCTTGCATTCACAGTGGCTATCGAAAGGCAAGGTAAACAGTAAGATAAAAATGATTCTTAAAAATAAACTGCGCTTGGAGTGACGAACAAGGATAAAAGATACCATGAAAATATTCTCCCTTCTCTTTGTACAAACTGCCATTTGTGGATCTACCACTAGTTGTTAAACAGGAGGTTCTAGAAATATCTGCTTAAATCAGGAATTGTAAGGATGAAAAATTTTGATACCAACTGCATACACATAGAGTTCTGACTGATTGCAACCCAGAGAAAAAAAAATGTACAGGTATGTAAACTCAACTTTGTTGCATAAACATAGCATGTTCCATGACGCAAGACATTTTAACAGCACA